CCCATTAGCCTATCAGATCCTCAAAGGTAAGCTCCACCAAAGGCAGGGATGTTTGCCAGCATCTAGGACAGTGCCTGGCAATCAGTTCAACTTGTTGAATGAATGAAGCTCAGAGACATGCAACAACATACTCAAGGTCACAGAGTATGTCAGTGCAAGAGAGGGAGATGCAAACCCAGGGCTTTTCTGAGACTAGTGGACAGCAAATCAAAAGAAGCATTTAGCCCTGGCCAGTTTTTCTCAGGGGTTAGAGCGTCAGCCTGCAGACTGAAAGGTCAAGTGTTCGACTCCCAGTCAAGGACATGTACCTGGGTTGCAAGTTCCCAGCCCCAGTAGGGGCACATATAGGAGGCAACTTAGCGATGTCTCTCTCTCACGTCACTGTTTCTCTCTATCTATCTCCCCTCCTTCCTCCCTTCCACTCTCTCTAGAAATTAATGGAAAAAATATCCTCTAGTGAGGATCAAAAAATAAATAAAAGAAGCATTTCACTCAATTCTGGAAAGAAAAATAGGGATTGAAAATAACTATAGATTAGTGAGTGTAGTGGGTAGAATAGTACCCCCCACCTCCCCAAATACACACAAAAAGGATATGTCCCTGTCATTGTGGCCAGAACCTATGAATGTGACCTTATTTGGGAAAGTCTTCACAGATGTAATTAAATTAGGGATCTCAAGATGTGATCATCCTGGATTATCTGGGTTGGTTTTAAATCTAATGACAAGTACCCTTATGAGAGACACACAGAGAGGCACACCAAGAGAAGAGAGGGTGATGAGATGATGGAGGCAGAAATGGGGGTGATGCAGCGCAAGGAAAGCCGATAGTTACCAGAAGCTGGAAGGAGCAAGGACGGGTCCTCCCTCAGGGACTCTGGAAGGACTGCAGCACGGATGACACTTAATTTTGGGCTTCTAGCTCCATAACTGTGAGGGAACAAATTTCTGTTGTTTAAGCCCCCTAGTCTGTGTTAGTCATGGTAGCCCAAAGAAACTAACACAGGATGCATTTCTATTTTTTTAGATTCTTGTTCTGATGTTGGATCATTTTTTAGAAATGATGATTAACAATATTGATTAACATCTATTCCTACCTTCACCTGACCTCCCTCCAGTTAAGATGGAAAACAGGCTAAACTGTGTCCTAACCAAGCCAGTGAGGAACTTAGCTGTTTGGATCACTGAATCAACTAGGATGGCATTTCTCTTCCTTCTTCCCTTCCTTCATCCCTTCTTTCCTGCCCTCTCTTCTTTCTCTTCTTCCTATTTCTAATGTCTATTTCTTTTTATTATTCTCCCTCCCTCTTTCTCTTTTCCTTCAACACTCATTGGTACTAGGGTCCCAGCACCCTGCAGGGGACAGCATGTTCTCACCAATTCCAGATGCCCGGAGGAATGAAAGCAGAATCTGGAGACACTTTGCAAACCTGACCTAGAGATAAATGCCATCACCCCACATACCTTACCAAGAGCAGGACTTGCTCTCTGTGCCCCCACATCCATCCACCCACACGACTAACACACATAAGTCATGTCGCTTGGTAGAGGAAATGAATGACAGAATAACTTCACTGGGCTTAGCTACAGATGAAAATATTTCTACATTTTTGTAACTATATTTCTGCCACTGTAGTTAGAACCTTTTCTTGACAGGCTTGTGTATTGAAACTGGGGAAAGATACCAACCCACATAATTCTCCATGACGATGACATTGGGAGTAGTGCTGTTGTTAGACTATGGTGTCTGTAGGGACATGACAAAGTGAGGTATGCATGGTGACAGATAAGGCATCATTGAAGCAGTAGAAGTCATTAGGGTAGCAGTATTGGTGTGATAGTGCAGTTGACAATGGCAAAAGTGGTGCTAGTGGAGGTAATGATGGTGAGGATGTTGGTGGAGACAGTAACTTATGGTGGCAGTGGTAGTAGTGGTCATGGTAACAATGGAAGGGATGGTAATTGGGAGACCAGTGGTGAAGAGGTGTTGATAGCGATGGTGGAGGTGTGATGGACGTGGCTACTAGCAGAGCTGTTGATGAGGTTTGTGGTGGTGATGGTGGTCCTGGCGGTGGGGATGTTGGTAATGGTGGTGATGAAGGCAGTGAGGTAGTAAAAATTGCGTGTTATGCAGCTTTGCTACAGTAACAACCCCCACACTTCCATGCCTTTTGAAAAACATTTAGTTCTTTTCCACTTTACTTGTTAGCACCCATGGGTCAGCTGCTGGGGCTCCACCCACATGTCTTCTCATTCTGGACCTAATCTGAAACATACCATTGTCCGTGGCAGAAAGGGTGCAAGTAAGAGCTGGTAGACACTTGGGATGCCTCTTAAATCTTCTGTTGGGATGTGACGTGTGTCACTCTTGATCACGACATGTATTCAAAACCAGTGTCAGTGGAGTGGAATAGTACTCCTTTAGGAAGGTTCTGCAAATATCAGTCAACATCTGGAGAAGCACAATACTCTTTTTTTTTTTCAATCCTCACCAGAGGATATGTTTTTCATTGATTCTAGAGCAGTGATGGCGAACCTATGACACCTCTGACACGCGAACTCATTTTTTTGGTTGATTTTTCTTTGTTAAATGGCATTTAAATATATAAAATAAATATCAAAAATAAAAATCTTTTTTATACTATGGTTGCAAATATCAAAAAATTTCTATATGTGACACGGCCCCAGAGTTACGTTAGAGTTTTTCAAAATGCTGACACGCCGAGCTCAAAAGGTTCACCATCACTGTTCTAGAGAGAGAGGAAGGGAGAGGGAGAAAGAGAAAGAGAGAGAAACATCGATTGGTTGCCTCCCATACTCAGCCCGAATGAGGATGGTAAGGCACAATACTCTTATAGGGAGGGCGTGGTCAATATTGCAGTGTGCTACAGGTGATAATGGGGGTGGTGGAGGCTGTGATAATGATGGCCCTGGTAGAAATGGTGGTGCTACTGCTAGTTATGGGAGTGGAAATGGTGATGCATGGTGATGTCGGTGGCATAACTGTGATAGTAATGAAAAATAGTGGGGATGCTAAAAGTGGTGGGAATGATACACTGGTAGGAATGACTGCTATAGCCATCATGCCGAGAGTGGGGGTAATGATACCGGAGGTGTGGTGTTCTATATTTCCTGTTGGTAACTCAGCACTACCACCATCTTCTTCTATAGTCTTCTCTGTAGAGCAGAGAATTCTGGAAGATTTTATAGAATCCCCTTACCCATATGGTCCCAGATTAGAGTCTTTCAATTCATGAGATTTGGAAAGTGGAAAAGAGGCAATTGTAGGCAGATGACAACCCAAAGGTTCACAGCAACTTCTGGGCAATTTTCTGAGAATCCTCTGCTTCAGACCTGGAGGCTGAGATATTCAGGGGCAGCGTCCAAGAATATCATGAGATTCCCAGCAGCTTCCTGGTGAGCTCTTGAGATCTACTCTCTTTGGAGTTGCAGACTGAGACCATCAGCAATGACTT